TTAGAAAAATATAGTTTTAATGGAGAAATATGTATTTTCAAATAGTCCCAATTGTAAATGAAGTTGCCACACACCTTTGATGCCTTAGGATGGCCATCGAGAAGTTTTACTTTGTTAAATTTATATTTTTATGCAAAATTTTAATCCTAAAATTCTTCTTAAATTATTGGGCAATTAAGAGATTTGAATAATTTATTGTTCAGATATTGATTTCATAAATTAAGTAACTTTGTATTTCTTCATATTCCATTCCTTGAAAATTAGCCTTAATGTAGATTTAGATTTTGTATATTATATATAATATTTTGGCCTTTAATTTATTAAATTGAATTAAGCGTACAAAATATATATAATTCTTTTATTCGGATTTGAATGAAGTTTTTGTCTTATTACATGATTCTTTGTTTAGAGCTTTGAAGATGATTTTGTTTAGCATATATGTATATATCTTATGGCTATTAGTTATATCATAAAATAATTTCAATTTGACATAGGAAATTACTTTGTTGTTGTATTTGTTTTGTGAAAATGTATGAATACTATTTTGTTATACGTTGGATAATATGAAAACATATTTTCTTTTGTCTTATAGTATAACTATTTTTTGACCTAGACAATTGAGGTTCTTAGTCATGTCAACATATATTTTGCAATTAGAAAGCAATTTCGAACCATGCCAGTAATTTAAAACAGTGATTTTCATTTACTATGCCATCGGTGTAAAAATAGTAGTTTTTATTTTGTTTAGGGCAACCATTCGATTGTTTTTAATATACTCCTGACCCATTGCCTCTGGGGCTATTTGTAGCTTTTTTTTTTTGTTTTTGACCTATGAAAAAACGGTTAAGGGTTAAGTGAAATCGTAGTATGTTATGCAAAATTAATAAACTAATAATTTTGTAATATTATGTTTAGTTTTGTTATTTGAAAATTTGGTTTTCACTTTTGAAATCTAATTAGTATAAGATATGTTTAGGAATTTAAGATTACCAATAATATTTTGGAATTATATAATTAATATTTTGAGACATGCCAATCCAACTGAAAAAATGTCGGTTACTTGCTGAGTTGTTGATAATTCTATATTTTAGAGAATTATTCTAGGCTTTATGGTATGAATTTCACCATTCTAGACTTAATTCGAGCTTGTTCCTTAACAATTTTTTTCAAATTCATTGTATATTTTATAGAATTATCTTAGGCTTTATAGTATGAATTTCACCATTCTAGATTTAATTTGAGCTTATTCCTTAACAATTTTTTGAAAATTCCCCTAGACTTGTTTATTTTGTGATTTGTGTAGGTTACTAATCTAAAAATGAGAATCAAGGTCATTAAGTACTAATTTGATGGACTAAGGATGCCATAAGACCAAAAATATCAAAGTCGAGCTAAGTAGACCAAGTTAGAGCAAAGTCGAAACTCCATGGTGCATCATAGAAAAAATTTAACTTTTGAAGGTTAACTTGGTTGACTTCTTGGTAAGGTGAATCAATTATGATCTTGAGCTCCTTAAGGATTTATTTTGACTGTGATCAAGTCAAAAAGATGAAGAGTGATGGAGTGGCAACTAATGAACTACATAATGGATGCACATAAATGAGATCATGGCCAAACCTAAGAGATTTAAACTAGAGAATTTTTTGCTATCATCATTTGGGGCTTCTAGAAGAAATTTGAGAGCTAGAACTTTTAAAGGTGATGTGAAATTTTTAAGGAATATCATTGGCTAAAAAGGTAGCATAAAGATCACCAAGTGTAGACACCAAATTTTGTTTGAAACATTTTAGTATGGTTGAACAAAACTTATTTGAAGCCTGTAAAAAGGCCCCTTAAAGAGCTTATAAAATGCATCGTTATTTAGGCTTAATAAACAAAGAAAATGAGATTCGTATGCCTACTGTCAAACTCTTTCAAATGAGATTTATATAGATGATACCTTTTCACATGAATATATGAAAAATAATGAATATATGAAATGAATAAACCCCAAAGTCAACTCTAGTTAAAATTACACAAAAACTTAGTCAAAATAAATAAAACTGCATCCAATTATCAAAGTTTACAATCTAATTGGAATTAAGGTGGTTTAAAATTAAACTTGGTGATTTTTTTTAAAAAAATACTAAAAATTTTTATTGCACTATAGAAAGTGTGAAATTACCAAAACACCTCTATAAGAGTATTTTCATAATTTGGCCTTCCTGAGCTCAAATTTTTATGAAACTTTTTAGACCTTAATTTCATAATATTTCATGATTTTTGGTACATTTGAAATCACAGCAGTACCCAAAAAGTATGAAATTATCAAAATACCCTTATAAGGGTATTTTCGTAATTTAGCCTTCTCGAGCTCGGATTTTCATGAAACTTTTCAGATCTGAATCTTATAATATTTCATGATTTTTGGTATTTTAAAATCAGAAAAATAAACATGAGAACATTGATTTCTAGGAAATGGACTAAATACAGAAAATTTTACACTAGAGGTAAAATGGTCTTTTTCATGGGTTTAAAGGCTAAAAATCCAACCTTTATAGTAAATAATATAGGCCATTAGATCTCTTATTAATCTTGATCTAATGGCTGAAGTTTGTTCCTTAAAAAAAAAAAGAAAAAACTTTGGCCCTTAGATGAGATTGGATCCAAGGGTCTAACACACATAAAATATAAGATAAAATAATATTATTTAATTTAATTCTATTTATAATATCATTTTATCTTATTGTACCATAATTTTATATACCAAGTATATACACTAAGATCAAAATTTTCGCTTGTTAGATCCATAATCATTTCCAAGTATATATGTTGAAACAAATGTCCAATTATTTAGAATAAAATGTAGGGATTTATTCCTTTTATCTACATTATGTAATATTTTTCATCACATACATAAAATAATCATGATACGATATAATGATATCGACGAAAAATATATTCCATAAAAATATTTATCAATATTCTAAATATCAATATCATAATTATCAATTATTGCACATAAAATATTTATTTATTTATTTATTAAGATGAATTAATTAGAGATATATTATCATAGAATAGTTGGCATTAAAAAGCTGAAACTACCTCTCACTCATCAAAACTACTCTTACACATGTTCTAAACTGTGAGAGTGAATTTCAAACACCAATAAATTATATTATTTTTCATAAAAATTATAAAAAGTTTTTTTCATATATTTTCAAAAATTTCAAAAAAATATACAATAAAACATAAATTAATTTTGAAAATTTTGGTGAAAAAGAATCTAAAACATGCCAAAAAAGGCACTGCATGTTCTCCAATCAAAATTTTCAAAATTTTGAGAGTAATTAATCTACAATTTTGTTTTTCTAGTTTGACTATTATTTTTTTCCTAAACTATAGTGTGTTTAATATCAAAATTTTCCTACAAATCCATATTATTTTAGGATACATATTTAAGAAACCGTTTTGGTCTAAAAGCATATTTTCAAAATTTTAGGATTGAAAATCTTTTTAAACTATTAAAAAAAGTATTCTAGCATGTCAAATAACCATAGAATCAAAATTAGAGGTGAAAACAAGATGCTAATATTTGATACAGCGACAGGAATATTAGTAGATTAAGGTTACTCACTCTAATTTTATTCTAAATTTTCAAAATTAATTTACGGTTGCTTGCATCACGAACTTCAAAGATCTACTTTCTATTTTACCATTTGAACAATTGTTTTAAATCTTTTTAGTCTATGAAACAACTATGAGAATTGTTTATAAATTTTCACACTTCAACTACCTTGGGATACCCAATAATTAGGTAAAAAAGAGTTTATGAGAGAGAACTTTTTACTAAAATAATTCTTATTAATACTTCTTATTTATTTCCATAAGTACATGTGTCTATTTATATATCACATACCTCAATACTATTGAAAATAAAATTGTCATATTATTTATGTGAAATTGTATTAGAAATAAAATTCTAATTCATCTCATATTAGAAATTAATAATGGATTTGATTCCAATAACCCTAAACATAACCACGTGTTTATAGGCTCCAAAAACCATAAACTATATTAGCAATTTAAAAAAGAATTATCAAACCAAAAATAAATTTGAGTCAAAAGCCTAATAGATTCAAATAGTATAGAAATTATAACCATTGAAGGTATTCAGCTCGGCAAATATTGTCCACTTTTATCTCCTTATTTATATGACTCTTTAATCCTTATCCTTCATAGTAACCCATGCATCCTTCAAATTAAGAAAGAAAAATTTGTTTAATTAAAGACTATTATACTTCATTAAGTGAAAGTTTGAATGAAGAATAGCGAAGATGAAAATTTTGTTAATTTAATATTTAAAATTTATAATAATTTTTTTATTTTGTAACTTAATAATTAAATTAATAAAATGTTCATCCTTATGTCTTTTCATTCTTTCTATCAAATAAAATCTAAATTCAATTTATGCAACAAAATGTACAAAAAAATCCTACTTGCCCCCGATGTACACAGGAGGATGAAACTTGTATCATTTTCTTTTTGTTCATACTTGAGGGTTAAAGTGTTATTTTTTTTTCCCGCAAAGTACCCATCTTCTAACACAAATGTCATGAAAGTTTATATTCTTTTATTCTTTTTTTAATGGTTTCAGTTTTATTGTTAAAGTTTCACTTAATAACATGAAAAAAGAGATTTTTATTGCGCGCAGTAGTTACATTTTATGACTAGACATGGAAAACTCTCTATCATATAATGATATTTGGTACAATGAGGGGAGAATTTTATTTATATTCAGTACTCCTATAATATAATTATTTATTTATAACTTAAAATTATTTGAAATTTATCAGTAAAATTTTTATAAGAATGAATTTATACATGATTAAATAATTATAAAATTATAATAAAAAATTATAAAAGAATGAAATTGCCAATAAAATTCGCAATTCGGATTTTCCTAAATTTTTGGGTGAATCGGATTTTATCCATTTACATTTTGAGTTTTTGACCCCTAAAGTGCATGCAGTTGCAGTCCAGTCCACCACAGCCAGACAGTCGCGCGTCAATCCCCTAGAAACAGCCCGGAATTAAAGCACACCCTCCCTCTCATCGGCTGGGAAAAATCTACAAAAATTAAAGCTCCCCGCCATAATCTAACCCTTTACCCCGACTTGACGTCGCTTCACTCTCCCCTGTATCCAAGCTTTCAAATGGTTCGTGCTAAACACGAGAAGAAAAAGAGCGTGACTGGAACACCCTCCATTCCCGCATGATACTTGATACTTCCCGCGCACGGCTCTGTAGATGCACCCACACGCTTCTCTCAGGTCGTTTGTAACCACGAGGGCTCTCCTCACCGTACACCTGTAAGATAAGGATAAATGGAAAAAAGTCGAGGGAAAGATAGTAGCGTGGAGAGAGAAAGACCGATCTGAAAATCGAACAACCGAAGGTAAGGTCTTTCTTTGTTTCTTTGTATCTATAATTTAGTTTGGCTTTATATAGATGGTTTTAGTTTTAATTTTGTAGATCGAGGAGGTGTTTTAATCACTAGATTTGTTGTGTTTGTCGTTGGATTTGGTGGTTGAAACTTGGGGGAAGTCTCAAGTTTGGGAGTTGAAATTAGGGTTTTGAAGGTGGAGGGAGTTAAATCCTAGATTGGATTGATTGCTGAGGCTGAATTGTTTGGTTAGGGTTTTAATACCCTAATATATATATATATATATATTTATATATGCATGGCTTCTGGGGCAGTAGTTGGAGAAGGTAAAGATGGTGAGAGGGAGAAGCATAGGTACACTGAGAGCAAGGTTTATACTAGGAAAGCTTTTAAGGGTCCCAATAAAAACAATCTTGTCAACATCACCTCGAACAACAACAACAACGTCAACAGCATTGCTGCGAACAGCTCCTCTGTCACCGCTGTCCCTTCCGCTACCAACAACGAGAACAACACCAACAAACACTCTGCTGAAGCACCAGCTCAGCCTCTTCCTTTGGAGTATGGGGGTTCAGCTCACCAAGAGCCTGCTCCACGCGAAGATACTGCAGTGTCTGTTGACTCTTCAAGTCTTAACAAGCAGCAGGTTGCCAGTTCAGAGAACCTAGTGAAGATCAATTTGGCTTCAAGGTCAAAGCAGGAGATGCGGGAATTGAGGACGAAGCTGGAGAGTGAGCTTGATTTGGTGAGGAATTTGGTGAAGATGATTGAAGCTAAAGAAGGGCAAGAAATTGGGTTCAGTAATTCCCTTGTTCTGTTGAATGATACTGTTGATTATGGTTTCAAGAGGGTTCAACCAGAGCTGGCTTCTGTGGTTATTGCTCGGGAGCCTGTTAAGCAATCAAGGCCTCTGAACCAGTTGAATATTTCTGTCTTGGAAAACAGTCAGGGTGCGAATGAAAATTTGGAGAAGGAGAAGAGAACACCTAAGGCAAATCAGTTCTATCGAAATTCTGAGTTTTTGCTTGCAAAAGATAAGATTCCGCCAGCTGAGAGTAACAAGAAGTCGAAATTGAATGGGAAGAAGCGAGGGGGAGGTGAATTCACTCATGGTATGGGTAACAAGTTCTTTAAGAGCTGCGGTTCTTTGCTCGAAAGACTAATGAAACATAAGCATGGTTGGGTCTTTAATGCTCCTGTTGATGTCAAGGGTTTGGGTTTGCATGACTACTATAGTATCATTAAGCATCCCATGGATTTGGGTACTGTGAAATCGAGGCTTAACAAGAACTGGTACAAGTCACCTAGAGAGTTTGCAGAGGATGTGAGACTGACATTTCGAAATGCTATGATATATAATCCTAAGGGACAAGATGTTTATGTAATGGCCGAGCAGTTATCAAAGATATTTGAGGACAAATGGGTTGCTATGGAGGCGGATTACTTTCAAGATATGAGACTTGCAATAGAATATGAAGTGAGTCTTCCTACGGCAACAACAATAAAGGCACATGCAATGCTACCACCTCCACTTGATATGAGAAGGATCTTGGATAGATCAGTGTCGATGATATCCCCTGTTGATGTGAGACCAAAACTGAGTAGGACCCCTACTCCAAAAAAGCCCAAGGTAAAGGATCCGTACAAGAGGGATATGACTTACGAGGAGAAGCAGAAGCTTAGCACTAACCTTCAGGGTTTGCCTTCAGAGAAACTTGACAATATTGTACAGATTATTAAGAAAAGGAATTCAGCTCTCTTTCAACATGATGATGAAATTGAAGTGGACATTGACAATGTGGATACTGAGACTCTTTGGGAGCTAGATAGATTTGTTACCAACTACAAGAAGAGTTTGAGCAAAAACAAGAGAAAAGTTGAACTTGCCATGCAAGCCGGAGCAGAGGCTGAGCAGATTGTGCCAGAGAAGGTAAAGCTTTCTGTCATAGTTTCTAATTTAATAATCTTTCCCTGAGAGTTTCCGAATTAATGCTTATGTTGTATTTAGTTAAAAACCTCAGCTCCTGTTTTGGTCGAAGTGCCAAAGGAAGCCACAACTAGTAAGTTTTCAATTATAAGAATGATGGTATTTTGGTTGCTGCATGCTTGGTTGGACTGATAGCTAAAATTTATATTCTGTTACCTGCAGATGAACAGAATGTGTCCATGTCACCTGTTGAAGTTGGAAAACAGGGAGATAATGCTTGTAGGTCGAGTAGTTCAAGTAGCTCTAGTAGTGATTCTGGGTCTTTTTCAAGTGGTACTACGATTTATTTCTAACTAGATTTTTTTTGGGGAGGGGAGGTACATTCTTTCTAATTGCTCTAACATATATAATGTTTATTGCAGACTCTGATAGTGAAAGCTCCTCAGCCTCTGGGTCTGACGCTGGACATTCACCAAAGTCTTGAATGTTTTCATTCAGGTATGATGAAATTTTCCTGTGTCGTAGAAAATTCAAGATTTGATTCTTCGACGTTCCTCCTGTGTATATGCTCGTTTCCACTTCTGTTGTAGAAATGTGTACAGTTTTGTTAATATTATGGTTCTTTTAAATAGTATGAATGGTGTTTAGTGATGGTATTTGATGTAAATGGTGGTGAATATCCTTGCCTGGAAAATACTATGTAATTGAGCACATGATAACTTGAATTAAAACTTGGATGAGTAAACAATTGTGGTTCTTGAGACCCCAAGGCAATACCTCAATGAGACTTCAAGTTGGAGGTCTTAGATTCAAACCTTGAGGAGGGGAGAGTGAGGTTTATAAGATAAAGAGAGTTACCTTTTCTATTTGATGTCAATGGGCTGTCACATGTAAGAAAAAAGAAAAAAACTTAATATCCTTCTGATATGAAGACGTATAGTTTCAATATTGGATGATTGGAGAGTATATAAACTGAATATTGAACAATTCTATGTTCAAAAAGATGTGTTTACTTTTGGCAAGTGGGATATCAATGATGCTTGTGTAATTCTATGTTAAAAAAAATGAGTTTGCATCTTTTTGAGAAGCAAAACTGATTCATGTTATTGACTTTTATGACTGGATCTGCTGGTGTAATTGTATGACTGAAGTCAACTGGTGATGGAAAGAGTGGTATTATACGTGATTCTGCTAATAAATGTTTATCCATGCTATGGCAACTCATTAGATTTACCAGTATCTAACTTTATAGTTGTTATGGTTCTTGACAGTGCGGCATTTGGAAATTTTTTTTTTTTATAGATACTTCTTAGTGAGTTTCATTTCTATGAATTTATGATAAAATTTGTAGTTTTAACCCCTGATCATTTGCATTATTACAGAGTTTTGGTTCCACTTTTTCCCTCTTTTTTAATCTTCACATTTGGTGTTCTTCTTTGCTTACAATAAACAGTCATGATATGTCAAGAGAGATAAGTTTGCAATACCAAGTACTTGATGATAAAATTTCAATTGAGCATCAGAAAGAAGTTAGCTGCTGAGCAACACTTGTTTTTTTTTTCTTTGGAGTGAGGCGTTTTTCTACAAGAAGAGTTATATTAATCCTCTCTGCTATTCAGTGTAATTTTCCATCTATATAATGCAAATAAAACTATTGATAACTATATATTTGTCAATATATCCATCTGATCTAGTGTTGTACATCGCTGTTTTCCTGACTGGACTTAGGTGAATAACAAGTCAGTTAATGTGTAATTTTTATCAACTTAGGAAAAAATTTTCTGACATACCTGTGTTTGTGATACATCCACCAGATCCTCTGGAGGAAAATGTGTCTGGAGTTTGCAGAATAGTGTGTCAACCATTTGATTTTGATCAACTTTCTGACTAAAATTTTGTGATCTAGTTTGCAGTGGGCTGTGATGTTCTGACTTGGCTTGGTAATAGTATGTTGGTCTGTGAATATCTATGCTGAACCTTGGGTTAGGTGTAGCATCATATTGCTATCCATGCAAATGAAGATATATGTTATAAGTTGTATCATTTTGGTTCTTGTGGAATACAATAATTGGTAGAAACTTGTAAGTATTATAGTCACCCACCATGTCAAGAAAATCAATGAGATTCAGCATCACCATTAGTATGACCTTATTATTTTATGGAAGCAAGGATTTTCATAAGATATGTTAGTTAATGGAAAGCGAGTTTGATTTCTGTGGATCCTCTTGCTTCTGTTAAAAGAAAACATATTTTTTGTTTCATTTTCTGTTGCATCTGTATGATGGCTCTAAATTTCTTTCGTAGTTGGTAAATTGATGTTTTGGGGTCACTGCATTTATCGACTAGTGATTATAAATAGATGAGAATGCTTCAAATGACAGCTGGTGAGTGGGTCCTTTTGAATGTTCTATTTACTAATTTGTTGTGTTTTCTATCTTTTCAGTGGGTGATCTAAGAGTTTAGAGTAGGTGCTGATCCATTATGATCCTGAAGCCTCGGAGATTCATTTTTATGATGTGCATAAGTTTTTGGTGCCTCGAACTCCAAGGGCTCCAGCCATTTTAGCCGCAGGAGAGTGGGTCTTTTTCTGTTTCTGCTGTTCTTGGAAGTCGGAAAAATGCTGCAGCACTCTACATGTGGACTATTTGTATAATATGATTAGAATTTGGTGGTCCATGCTCTGAGGAAAAGTTGGGTTTTTGCGTTACTAACTACTGCTACTCATTCTAGTTTCAGGGGACTTTTTTTCTTTTGGTTTATGATGGCAGATTCAGGATTCTTTGATGTTGTATAGAGGAAATAGCATTGTAATTCAAGTTGATGAAGTCCATAATTCCTTCAAATGAAATAATCTGTGAAAAGCATTTTATTTTTGTGTTTGGTTATCTTATAATTCAAGTTGATGAAGTACAAAATTCCTTAAAATGAAATAATCTTATGTGTTTGCACTGGGCATCTTTTATCGTAATTTTATTTATCGTATCATACTAGTGGTTAGTCTGGAACTTGAAGATATGCTTTGGCGTTCGACAATAATGAAAAAAATGATTAGATACTGCAAGCCACTTTATTCTCGTTTCTAGCCACTTCGTCACGGTTGCCTCTGACCAACCCTGTTTCTCTTTTGGTGGGCTTTTGGGCTACCTGAGTTGACTCTATTGTTTTTTCGGTTCATAGGAGTTGATTTTGTTGTTTTTTCTGACACTTTCTTGGATGTACAGTCTTCGGATCCTCTTCCTTTATTTATTGATTCAGGTTTACAAGTGCACAAATTGAACAAATAATAAAGTGGTAAGAATCATTTGCGCGAACATTAAATAACAGAAGAGAATTAATTACCGATATTGTTCAATTTTAATTATATTAAAAAAAATCAAATAAGATCAATCTTTTTTTGTCGCCTTTTACGCTACTGAAGTTGACTTTATTGTTTTTTGGGTTGACGCTTTCTTCTACATACAACCTTTGGATCCTTTTCTTTTATTTATTGATTAAGGTTTGCAACTGTACAGATTAAACAAGTAATAAAATAAGAATCATTCTCATGGAGATTGAATAATAGAAAGAATCAATTACTGAAATTGTTAATCCTTGATTATATTCAGAAAAATCAAACAAAATGCAAATAACTAATTAAACTACTTTATCTAATTAAAAAAGAAACTTAACTTATGCAATAATCCTAAAAATTAATTTAAATATGCAAGAGTAATAATTAAAACTCAAACTGTAATTAAATAAATAACAAGTGTCATAACATTTAAATTCGAGAATCATTAGACACAAAAATATGAAGTCACCACTAATTTTTTTTATCTAAGTGTGATTCACTATTTATGTGAATCTATCATTTTTAAAGTTATTCTAAACTTAAGCTAAGGATCTTTAAAAAGAATAAGTTCTGATTTATATCAACAGAATTAAATTTAGGAGTCGGTTAAGTGTAAAAAAAGTTTTAGCACCCTATTATGCCCAAAATTAGTATCAAATTAATCATATGTTATTTTAATTAAATCTTAATTAAAGATGATTTTTTATTAATTTTGATATTTAAATATTGAAAAAAAAAATCTTTAGCCTTTCACCAAAAAAACTTTTTTTTTTTTTTTACTTCAAAAGTATTCAAGATAAACTCATTATTCATTTGAAGAGGCTTCGTTATTGGATTCATTAAATTTCTTATGAAAAATCAAAATCAAAATCAAATTCCTTTTTATTTATATACAAAATATTGTCGTACAAAAATACTATCAAAATATCATAAAAAAATCATGCAAGAATATTATAATTAAAACATGCAAAAATCATGAAAAAATATATCTCAATAAATAATGCAAATAAATAAACCATATAAAATATCATAATAAATCATGCAAATAAATACAATAAAAATCATGCAAGTAATCATGCAAAAATATAATGCAAAATAATATCATAATAAAAATCCTACCAAAGTTGCCCTTTTTTTTCTTTTTATTTTTTCCATCACTTTTAATATAATCACAATTAAAAATACTAAAATAAAAAATAAAAAAAAACCTATAATCGAGTTGGGCCAGAAAAGTATTAAATAATCTAAAAAAAATAAGTAATCCAAAAAAATAAATGCCAAAAAGAGGGGTCAAACTTACAACCTTATGGTTAATAATCATATACTTTAACTAACTGAGCTACTTTAATTTTTTTTTATATTTTATTTCTTAAATCTTATAAGTAATGAAATGGATAATTTACAGTGCTTTTAGTTAAAAATGCCTTAAATGATACAGTCCAAAAAATTGAAAGGTATTATTTAAGGCCTTTTTTTATCAAAAATACCTTAAATAAGTTTTTTAAAAAATATTAAAGCACTAGAATGAGAGGTCAAACCTACAACCTTATGGTTAATAATCATATACTCTAATCGATAGGGCTACTCCAATTTTTTTATATTTTATTTCTTAAATCTTATAAGTAATGAAATGGATTATTTAATGTGTTTTTAGTAAAAAAAATGCCTTAAATAATACAAAAAAAAGTGAAGGCTATTATTTAAGGTATTTTTTTTTATAAAAAACGTTTTAAATAACCCTCTTTGAAAAATATTAGAGATTATTTAAGGCATTTTTGGCCAATAATCCCTTTTAAAAAATATTATAGATTATTTAATACGTTTTTGATAAAAAATGCCTTAAATAATATCTTTCAAAAAATTAAAAAGTATTATTTAAGGCATTTTTAAACAAAAAAAACCTTAAAATATCATCAATAAAAAAAATATTAGAGATTATTTAAGGCATTTTTGGACAAAAAATGCCTTAAATAATCTCTTTAAAAAAAAGAGAATATTTAAGGCATTTCTTAATCATAAACGCATTAAATAATCTTCAATATTTTTTTATCGATGAAATTTTATCAATAAAAACAGCAATAAAATAAAATATTTATCTTCTTTTACTGTTAAAGGCATCATTTATCATTTAGGTATTTATTATTAATAAAAACTAATAAAAAGTTGTCATCATATATGTTAATGAGATTATGAAAATTATTTAGGAATTAATATATGTGGATTCTCCCCAATCAAATGAGTGAATTTGAACATGGGATGCCCTGAAAATGAAAAAAAAACCTCAGGTATCGTATTTTCCTGAGAATTACATTTTCCCCTGAAATCTTAAATTTCGCGAACCAAACGCCTCCTTAGGGATATTTTTGTAATTTGACCTTCTTAAGGTCAAATTTTCATGAAACACTCAAGATCATGGTTTGATATTATTTAATAATTTTTAGAATTTTGAAAACTTTGATTGTCCTCAAGAGATGTGAAATTACAAAATATCTTTGAGAGATAATTTTGTAATTTGACTTTTTTAAGGTTGATTTTTTTTGAAACTTTTCATATCATGATTTTATAATATCTAATGATTTTTGGTGTATTCGAAATCACAGTAGTACTTCAGGAGGTGTGAAATTAGCAAAATACTTTGAAGGGGTAATTTCATAATTTGACATTTCTGAGGTTGGATTTTCACAAAAATTTTCAGATCTTAATTTCATAATATTTCTTGATTTTTAATGCTTTAAAATCACAAAAATGAGCATGAAAACATTAATTTTTAAGAAAATAACCTAAAGACCAAAATCTTTGTACTAAAGACAAAATGCTCTTTTTACTTGGTTTAGTAGCTATAAAAATCCAACATTTGTAGTGAATATTGTGAACCATTGGATCACATAAGATATCTTGATCCAATGGCTAAAATTTTTTCCTTGGAATAAAAACAATGAGGGAATCTTAGCCATTAGATGAGTTTTAATCCTGTGATCCATATTCAATTTTGAAGGGTTTTTTTATGGTTTTTTCTTCATTCAAGCAGGGATGTTGTTGCATGGAAAACCAGAGGGCTAGAAATGAAAAACAAAGGAAAAAAATAAAGAAAAAATGTGAGAAAGAAAAGAAAAAAAATTCTATTTCTTGTTTTCCTTGAAGGTAGCCTTTCTTAACCTTCATATTTGTATTTTAAACATCCTCATCACATTTATCATTGTATTTTTATTATGTTTCATTCATTTCTTTATTGATTTTCTAGAAGGTTTTTGGTTTTTTTCTTTTTACTCAAAGTTTGAATCAAACTTTATCCAATTAATCAGTAGTTGGATTGAAGTTAGAAAACAAATAAAAACAACACAAATTCACCATTGAAAAACCAAGTTGGAGGTTCGGCCAACCTTCTCTAACCTTTTCTTGGCTTTCTCTTTAAATGTGTTCTTTGCTTCTTTTGTTATCTATATGTGTTTGGTTGATGTAGTACTTGTTATTTGCTAGTTTATGGTCTAGGTTGATGATATAAAATGGTGTTTGGCTCATACTCTAGTTGCTTATATTTTCTTTGTTATTTTAGCTTGTTTCAAGTTTGATAAATGATTTTTTATGGTGAAAATGTTCTTATGTGATGGTTTGGAGGGTAAATGAAGTATGTTTAGCTTGAATGAAGTGAAAATGTGGTGATGAAAATTCCATGAATGTTCAGCTGTGGTAAGTTTCTTGTTTGGCCAAACCATTTTCTTTTTTTGGTGATGATTTGTGGCTTGATTTCACATGTTTGATTGTTACTTTTGATATGTTTGCAAGTTTTCAATGTGTTGGGTAAATTCTTTAAATGGAAAAATGCTAGTTCATTGGGTTTTTTGGTTGGATTTTGAAAACAAAAAAAAAAAATGGTGGAACATTTCAAAAGTTGGAAACGTTTTTATGTTTAATTCATTTTGGTCTTAAATTTTCATGCATTACATGTTTGTGATATTAAGTTTGAAAATACCTTAGTTTGTAATAAGTTTTCAAGGTCATGTTTTAGGCAAATGCATTCATTAATGACATTTTTGTAATTTGCATTTATTTCATGTCTATTTCCATAAAACCCAAAAAAAATTGAAACCCCAAAATCCCATGAAACCCTAATTCTCAAACCCTAAAACCTAACCCTAAACTCCAAACTCCAAACCCTAAACCAAAACCCCAAATCAAAACCCTAACCCTAAACCTTAAACCTTAATCCTAAACCTAAACCCTAACCCTAAACTATAAATCCCTATATCCTAACCTATACCCCAAACCAACCCTTAAACCCTAAATCTATCATGCATTTGCATTTCATTTTACCTTATCATCACAAGTATTTTTATATTATTATGCATTCTTACGTTGTCATCCATATTAAATTGTCATGCATTCATCATATATAATTATTTTCATGCATCACATGCATTTGTTTTCAAATATTTGTTTCTAAAATAAAATATTCTAAAATAAGATAATATCTCAAGTACATATAATGATCGATATCTTGCACAATTATAGGGTGACTCTTGGTAATTATTATTTATGATAGTTGTTATCTTGGTTTTGTGCGGCAATTTGAAAATCCTTAAATTAGAGATATTTTTGAAACTCTACCTAATCATAGGTGTCATAATGTATCGGTCCAGAAACTCGATCGCTAGATGTAAAATATTTTAAAAATCATAAAAAAAAATGAGGAGTCGCCACCAATTTTTTTAAGGTGTGATTGGCCACCCAAAAATTTTATCTTTTTAATAAAATAATAAAATGGGTTTAAAGTTTCATTAAAAAGATAATTTTGGTCTACGAAAATAGAATCAGGTTCGGGAGTCGGTTATGTGTGGAGAAGGATTAGCACCCCCACAACGCTCATAAATTAGTACTAATTAATCATGTGTCATTTCTAATTCAAGATAAAAATGGTTTTTTTTTTATATTAAGTTTAATTACAATTCCCTTCA